TACTCCTCCCTCTTTTATATACACATAGTCCTTGGTAACCTAGACCATTTTGCCTGGCTGAGAGTTTCTGTTATCCTTCAATGTGCTTCAAAGAACAAAGTCTGTTTCAGGTAAAGTTAGACTTTCACGTATAAAGAAAATTATTCTGTCACTCAGACTCTTTCCCTGACCTCAGTCTGTCACCCAGCAAACAATGAATGATATGGATAGTTTTAAGAAAAGAAAAGAGCAGCTCTGTGAAGGAAACACATCAGATAAAGGTATAAAAAAGGAACCAGAACAAAACATTGACTCTTACTATGGTCAGTTTGCCCTGATGCTCTTTTCTGAGAGGATCAACAGTTACCCTCCAGGTAGTCTTCTGGATTAAAACAACCATATGGTTTTGCTTTTTAAAAAAAATGCAAAACAGCCTTCCAATAGTAATGTTTTACAATTTAGATGACATCTAATCCAAATGAAATCTTAGACTAACCTAAGAAAACCAGCTTACTTGTAAAGTACGTTTTCAATCTACATTGCTTTCAGTTGTTGGGTGGTAACTAAGGAGCCAGGTGTTGTTGTTTCATTTATAGCTTTAATGATGATTTCTCCCTGTCTAACATTTTACAATGTGAAAAATGACAAAGAAGGGATTACTTGGGCGATGTGGACTCTTATTCAACCAGCATTATACTTTTCTTCTCTCCGATGGGTTGTAATTTTAAAAAAATCACACTTAGCATTACTATGTTGCTTTAAAATTTATGAACATTTTTCAGTTCATTGCTTTTGGGGCTAGGTAGGATAGGCATTATTAGTGACTCCAATTTATGCATTAGGAAATTGAGGCTAATTGGCATGCAGTGATTTATGAAAGGAAGATAACTCTTTAGTTGAGGAGCTGAGACTTGAACCCAAGTCATCTGAGTTTGTGTTCAGCAGACTTTGTTGAATCTACATGTCTTTAATTTTTGCTTTTATAGATCCTTAAACTTTTGATCTTATAGGGAACTCTAATGCTGATGTTTTTGATGTTGTATTTACCAACAGTTGAATGTATTTCTTTGGCTGGTGGGTGGGTGGGGGGCGAGGGGAGGACACATTGTAATAGTGAAAGTCTTCTCAAGGTCTTTGTTCATTGGCTCAGAATGAATGTGGTCATGTTCTGTTCCTATGAATTCCATAGAATTCTATAATGGAAAGTCCCATCCACTTAAAAAAGTAAAGTAATCCTCATGTTAAAACATGGAAACTGGTGGTGGGTTGGGGGGTAGGGAAGAAAAGAAGACAGACATGGCAAGCCCTGGCATTATATAGCAGATAAGGGAATTCATCTGAGCAGAGATAATTACTAAAGTTACAAAATTTCTTTGTAAAAAGTATGAAAGTGTAAGAAAAGACTAAGAAATCTAAGAAAAGATTTGAAACTTATCTGGGAGCTCTGCTGGCTATTTCCCCAAGTTTCATTTATGATTGATTTGGCATGTCATTTGTGAACTAGCAAACACAGGGAGAGAAAGAATTCTTTATTTTTTCAGCTAATAGCATCATACTAATTATAAATATAAGTTTGAGTTAAGCATTCCAATCTTTAGTGGGTTAGAGGCCATCCAGGTGGTAATGCTAAAGGTTCCTAAATCAGTTCAGGTGCCAAAAACATAGTCTGAGCGCATTCTGATTCCACAAAAGCAATTGAAATGTCTCTCTGCTGTGGGGGCATACTATCTATCCTCATATATAGCTATCTGGCTTTTGCCAGAATAGTTCCAGAGGTGGGGGAGGAGAATGATAGAAAACAGCAGATTATTTAAGTGTTCTCTGAAAGAGTTTAAAGGAAGAAAATACCATATAAAAGGAAGCTGAAGGATGATAAGAAATCGTCCAGACTCAGGAACTGAGCCTTGTTTGAAGTGAAAATGTCTAGCATGGGTTCTCTCTCAAATGGAGGTTCAAGTTGAGAACTCCACAGCTGGAAGAAGAGAGAAAGAGAGAGGAGGCTGTTGAGATACAGATAGAGAAGTAGATTAGGGAGTCTTGGGCTGAGCCAGATTTGACCCTAGAACTCATCTTTATTTTATACATGAGGAAACAAATTAAATTACAACTTAGGGGTTTATTGGCCTTAGCTACTTCAGCAGAGATTGTTTTCCCTCTAGTAAGTCAGTAGCTATGCAAGAAAAGTATAGATGATAAATGAACAAATCTTGGGAATTAGAAACCAAATTTGTGGGTGGAGCTGGATGCTGAACAAACTGGCTCCATGACTTTTTCACTTAAGGTCATATATCTCCCTTCAGGTCTATGGAAGTGGGATCTGTAGTTGGAGTCAAGGGAGGGTGGGGTGGTATCCTGCTTTGAACTCACTATTGATGCTGGTACAATGGCTAAGGTCTAGGATGTCCATCTTATGATTGGCAATTTATGACCTTTTCTACTTAATCACCCTATACGTTGTTTTTATTTTTTTCCTCTTTTATCATAGATCAGGACTACGCATTAGGTAAATATGTTTTGAAATTTTCTCTATGTTAGTAGAGGGCATTATTTACTCTATATTATTAAAACCGAACCCTCATCAAATAGGAAAGTATTGTTTGGGAAAAAAATGAGGTAGCTTTTAACTCAACCTAATTGCTGTTCTGTGTGCCTGATATTTTCTGAATTCCTAATAGTGAATGCCTTCTGAGAGCTAAATTAATACTTGACTACCTGAGGCATTTTACATATTTTATAAACTCTGGCATTGTGTGAATACTTCATGCTAAGTCCTAGATGCCCCCTGTGTTAAACTTCTAGTAAGAGAAGTCTAGTGTTGCTAAGTTCATGTTAACTGCTTAATTACCTTTTCCTCTTCCATTCTTTTTCTTTTTCTTCCTTCTGTTCACTTACTCTTAGAAGCACTACTTATTGATTGTTGGTAAGCTCTAACAATTATTCAAAGGTAAGGTGTGTCCTTTTCCTTTCTCCTCTCTGCTCCCCAGCTTACAATGATCTTCTGATCAATGTAATTGATTTAATTTATTTGATCAGCCTTTGCAAATGCACATACAGCAGGGAAATGAGAAGTAATCATAGGGCTTCTCTGGTCTGAGGAATTTGATGACTGATTTGCAGATATTGCTGATTCATCACGTCTATTTTCTAAATACAGTGATTAAATTTAATTTTTTAAAAATTATGGGGTCTTTTGAGGTTTAACAAATAGTGAGTATTCATGGTACATTATGCTCTTGTAGTTTATCATTTCTTAACAAAAAGGAAGTATGTTTTAATACCAATCATCTGGAACCAACTTGGATCATTGTAATTTTGGTTCAAATTTTTATTTTCTTAATTTTTGGAGTTTGGACTCATGTATATTGTTCATTTGGTCCTGCTTTGTTCTTTCTGTATCACTTCATACAAGCTTTTTTTAAAAAATCACTGTTTTATATTTATTCATATTAAATGTCATCTTATTAGGGTCATTCTAGTATTTCAACCTGATGAAATCTTTTCAGATACCAGGGCTGGCAGGCAAAGTATTAGCTTTCTCTCCCAGCTTTGTATCTACATATTTGCTGAACATGTAATCTGTGTCTTCTTCCAAGTCATTGATGATTAATAAATAAAAAGCATTTATTAAGTTTTTACTATGTGTAGAAAATAATAAAGTGAGACAGCCCCTGTTCTTAAGAAGATCAGTTTCTCATGGGGGAGGCACAACTTATAGGAGGATTTAGCTACAAGTCAGATGTTAAAGTCCAGTGGATTTTAAAGTATTGCCACAAAACTGATGACAATGAACCTTTCTTAACAACATTCCCACTGATAATTAAATTTGTTTCTAATGTTGAAACATATGACAGTACCAAGAAATTTGTTGGGTAGGACTTTCTTTTCTTGGTCTTCAGTAGCGGTATTTGACAAAGAGGTGGGGCAGTAGCACCTGCAGAACCAGTTGCCAGGTCACATCTAAATAATGATTGGTCTCCTGTATATTGGCTCTGGGAGTTCTGCTGGGTACAAAACTAATGATTTGGGGGTCACTGCCATTCCCAGGTGTCTGGAGCTCTGAGTCCTGGGTAGTATCCACCAGATACCTGTTGCTTCCTCATGATGCTTCAGGTAAGCTGGCTTGCCTGCTCTGTGGGTGGTGGTTGGTTTGAAGTTGATAATGGTATTGGTAGGAATCATAAACTCTTTCTTTACAAGGTATTCTCCCCTTTGTGATGGCTTTGAGGGGCAAGTCTAGAAGCAAGACCAGTGGCCTTCGAATATTCTTTTCCTTACATGAATTGTTAGAGTTTTTCTCCACTGAGGTTCAAGGGGAATAAATGATTTTTAGACGATGACAGTGGCTTTTGATAAAGATGTATAACTAAACAGGGCAGAAGACACAGCCTTGCAGAACTTGTGATCCCCATCAATGATCCCATTGATCCTTTAGTCAAAATGCTGGTTCTCTTTATTCAACCAGTTTACATCTCTCTACCTTTTACATGAGGATATTATAAGAGCCTTAATGAAGTCCAGGTAACTTGTTTTTAATGAATTCATATTGCCTCATCTCTTGACTTGTATTCACTGAGGATGACTAGGTACCCAGTTACAGAAACAAAATAAGAATTTAACAAGAAAAAATAAATAATAATAATAAAAATAGATCCTTTCTTTTTTTTCCCCTCTTACCTCCAAGAGTTAAGACTTCTTTGCTTAAAAATAATTTATTACTATTTAAAACAAATGTTTGGTAATCAAATTTAAACACTGAAGTATTCATGTCATCATCTTATATAAATCATCTTCTATAAAACATCTGCTTATTTGACAAATATGAAATGAGAAATATGTGCTGAAAATTATCAAATTTTTTATGTAGGTTAAAGGTAGATGACATTTTAATGGCAAATGATTCTATGATAATGACAGTTTTCTACTTCTAATGCACATAACAAATGAATAGTTTTAATTTGCTATGTAATTATTGTAAGTCTCTTAACATTTCATTTATAGATGCATTTTTTTGTCTTGCTTAGGTTGACCTGATTGTGACTTTGGGTGGACTCACAGGACGGTTTGACCAGATCATGGCTTCTGTGGAGACCCTTTTTCATGCAACTACCATCACTCCAGTGCCTGTTATCATCATACAAGCAGGTTCCCTCATTTGCCTGCTTCAGCCAGTAAGTAAAATCATGGCCTGAGGCACAAAATCTAAGCTTCTAATACACTTCAAAATTGGATGAATGAGCCATTGGCTAAATTAAGGCACAGCATGCCCATTGAGGTCATGAAGAAGGAGGGGACAAAGCTTGCTTCCATCAGGCTTTTAAAATAATGGTTTCTAAGTTACTGAACATTAAACATGGAGATGTTTCTGCTTTTCGTTTTCATTTGATCGTGCCCACAAAAAAATTTCAAAAATTTTAATCTAATTTACAAAGAATTACATTAATGACACTGCATTTTCTTTTCTTTGTCTTTCTCTCTCCCTTTTTTTGTTTTTGTTTTTGTGAGGCAATTGGGGTTAAGTGACTTGCCCAGGGTCACACAGCTAGTGAGTGTTGTGTCTGAGGCTGATTTGAACTCAGGTCCTCCTGACTGCAGGCACTGTGCTCTATCCACTGTGCCACCTAGCTGTGCCTGACACTACATTTTCAATAGCTCTTTATGAATGATGCTTAGGAGAAATCTGAGCATAGGAAATGCAGAGCTTGACCAAGAATTCAGCTAGAATTCTCGTATATTTTGAGTACTGTCGTTTAGTATAATTGGAAACCAGATTTGATTTTCTGAGGGAATTATGTGGAAATCTTTTGTTCTTATAATTCAACAACTTATTAATTTCACTGTGCCACGAGAAATTCCTCAATGATGATGACCTTGAAGAAATTTAATTTAAAATTACTGGAAATTGGACATTAGATACTGACATAAAGAGAAGTGGCATGATACAGTGTAAAAAAACTAGACAGGTATCAAGAGGCCTGGGTTCGGATCCTCAGAAAAACTTGATGTCCAGTCTCTTCCTCTGAAAAATAGGGTTATTATCTCTGTTTCCTCCCTCTGATGCTCTGATGCCTAGTTTATAAATGCCGCTCTTAAAATTTGTCATCCAACGTAATATCTAACAAACTCCTAGTAGGCATTTAAGAAAAAATTTGTTAGATGATTTTTGTTTCTTTCTGAAATAATTTTCTTATATATTAATTTCATGGAATGCACTGCTGATTAGTTTAATTCTACTTCTAATGCTAAACATCACTTAGGTTTCATTCATACCGGAAGGGATTATTGACTGATGAATTATTAGGCTGTATGCTTCAGGTGGAGGGAGCTATGTGGCTGAGTGGATAGAGCGTTCCACCTAGAGTCAAGAAGATTCATCTTCCTGAGTTTAAATCTGGCCTTAGACCTTTAATAGCTGTGTGATCCTGGGCATGTCAGTTAACCCCGTTTGCCTTAGTTCCTCATCTGTGAAATGAGTTGGAGAAGTAAATAGCAAACCGTTCCAGTATCTTTGCCAAGAAAACCCTAAATGCGGTCACGAAAAGTTGGATACAACTGAACAACAACAAAATCCACTCACTTGTTTCCATGTCTGTCTTATGTGTTATCTTTCCCCGTTAAAATGTAAGCTGTTTGAGGACAGATCATCTTCCTTTTTGCTTGTACTTTGTATCCCCAGTGATAAACACAGTTCTTGGTGCATTGTAAGCACATCAATGTTTGTTGTTGAAGTGCTTTTGTATGCCCTTGTTTTGTTTTTTTAGGTCTACTTCTTGAGGGAGTAAGACGAATGGGAAAGGTCAGTTTGGGGCTTAAGTTGCCCAGTTGTTGCATTTTGTGTGTGTGTGTGCACATGTGTGCGCACGTGTATATTTGTGTGTGTTTAGAACCTCCTTTAGCTTCTTCTTCCACTTAGAATCAAGTTTTGTTTTTCAAATACTCATTATTACTAATGTATTTTCAAAGCTTTCTCCTTCCTACTGTTGTGAAATTTTGCCATTTTTATTCTCTTGGGATAACCTCTTTTGTTTTGTGGTCTCTTCCATGTATTCTACTTACCTCAGGTCACTGAAGGCAGACAAAAGTTTCTAAGTCATTCTCCAATATTTGGTGACTTTTAGTGGCGAGGTTTGTAATTACTAATTCAGTGATGTATTGGTTGGAAAGCCAATTCCTGAAGGTGACTAATAGGATTATTCATAACTGAAAGAGGATTCCCATACAGGTGTTTTAATTGTAGGTAGTGACAATTTAGCCTTAGCCAGTCTCATTACATAATTTGATTGACTCTCAGTGAATTGGAAAATTATTTTAACTGGAACATTGCACTCTTCAACTCTGCTGATTAACCATTCAATCAACATTTATTGGCAAAGTACCTGTTAGGAGATATAGATGGGAGTACAAAGTATGAAACAATTCCCTACCTGCAAAAAAGCTTACATTTTGATGGATTAACTGAGCTATGCATTAGTGACCTGTCTCTTACCAGATTGTTGTGCCTATTAGGTTTTGTTTTGTGGTACAAAAATAAATAGGAAGCTACCCTTCAGAAAGATAACAACGTCATGTCTTAATATGTCAGGAAACTGAAAAAAAGAACAACATACATGCCTTTCTTGACACAGAATTAGTGCTATTGTAGGTCTCTGAAACCAAATTGATTTTTAGTCTCTTCTATACTTTATTTTTACAGAGCTCTCTTTTTCAGACAAGCAGACAATTTACTATTTTGGCCAAAGATGGGTCAGTAAAGATTTTAAAAAGAAAATTAAAAACAAAAAACAAAAACAGCATGTATTTTGAGTGATGAGGTTTGACCTGATCACGAATGATTACAATTGTATTATTAAATTAGTATTTCCAATGGGGCTTATTAGTTACTGGACCAGATCAGCATGGGATAGAAAAACAAAGAGAGATACATTCTTTTTCTTGTTTCTTAAAATCATTAGCACAGTAATCCTGTCAACAAATACAAATTACCAAGCCATCAAGCAAATTATATAGTTAATCTCCAGATACTTTACTAAAGACCAAGATCTCTTTGATGTGATATCTGCTTCTTCTGTGCAGATTGCAACTGAGCCATACTATCTCGTCTTTTTTTTTTTCTCCCCAATCAAACAAACAATTATCAAGCATCTAGCTATGTGCCAGATTTTATGCTAGGCATTGGAGGTTCAAAGCAAAAAATAAAGCAGGCCATCTGAAATGGCCTCCATTCTGTTGGGGGAATACCATGTGTACATTTTGAGTAGATAAATACATAACAGTTTTGGAGGGGAGCTATTATCATCTGTGAAAAGCAAGTAGTATTTGAACCAAAAATAAAGGGAAACTAATAATTTTAAGAAGAAAGGGAAAGGACAGAATATGATCTAAGTATGGAGGACAGCCTGTGCGAAGTCACAGAGGTGGGAGCTGATATATTCTTTATGAAGAACAGTAAGAAAGCCAATTTGGTTAACCTGTAGGGATTGCAGAGGGCAGTGATATGTAATAACAAACTATCCGTTTGGGTTGGAGCAGGTTTTACATGGCTTTAAAAGGCCACACTGGGCAATTTGGGTTTTATCCTATGAGTAGCAGGAAGCATGACTACTGAGCAGAAGAGCTATGAGGCTATACCTTTCTTTGGTTCAAGTATATCTCTTCAAAAATCAAAATAGAATAGAGAGACACTTAAGAGTGTTCCACCAATTTGGGGCTAATACAGTAGTTCAGGTAAGATGTGAGGAAAGCCTGAACTAGAAGGGTAAAATCATAATACATTGCAAATGTATTCTATCACTGACTCTTTATTTTCAAATTCTTCCTTTCTCCAAATAAAGCCTTAAATTTTGAATGTTTTGTAATTTTCGATTATAAAAATAAACATTTTTATGTGTTTCCTTGTGACTTGTTTTTTTCTACCTAGTTTTAATCAAGTTATGTGCCCTTTTACAATGTCTTTTTTAACACCAAGCCCCATGCTCTATTATACCATGCAGCTTTATCTTTTTACCTCTTAGTCTTCTTTCTCACTGCCTTTTTTATGACATGAATATGCTTTCTTACTATATTATGTTGTTCACTTCTTTTGTCATCTAGTTTTGTTTGACTCATCATGGGCCATATTGTCTATGGGGTTTTCCTTTGCAGAGAGGGATTTGCCATTTCTTTCTCCAGTGGATTAAGCCACACAGAGCTTAAGTGACTTTCCCAGGGTCCTGCAGCTAGTAGATATCTGAGGCTGAATTGAAACTCAGATCTTACTGACTCTATCCCCAGCACTTTATCCACTTAGCCACTTAGCTGCCCTTTTTACGTACTGTCATATGCTAATTGAACTATTGTCTAGTTTCTGGTCAGTTGAGTCATCAGTTTTTCACTGTTGCCGATAAAGTAACTATGGATGTTTTTATACACATAGATCCTTTTAAAACTATTTAACTAGTATGATCCTTACAATATGGAATCATTGTGTCAAAGGATATGGGTTCATTTTGTTTGTTTGTTTTTACTTATTTTGTTTTGCTCTCAAAAGCTAGTAGCAGTCTTTAATGTCACTAATTGGAGGCAGTTATAGGGTGCACTATATAGAGGGTGGGGCCTGAGTCAGGAAGCCAGGAGTTCAGATGAAGCCTAAGACATTTACTAGTAGTGTTACCTTGGGCAAGTCACTTTAACTTCATTTGCATCAGTTTCCTTAACTGAAAAGGAGACAATAACACCATCTGCCTTACAGGGATGTTTTGAGGAGTAAATGATAAAATATTTCTAAAGCATTTAACACAGTTATTGGCACATAGTAGGTTCTATATAATAGTATATTACCTTCCCTTCCCCTATTTATATAATGAGTATTTACTTTTCTTCTGTCCAAAGAATTTTTGAATTTTTTTTGCATTTTGATCTTTTTTTTTCCCCAGTTGGATGGGTATAATAATTTATCTGATTTAAGAATTTCAACAAATCCACTTAACATTATAACAACTTGCATTTATATCTTCCAAAAGCCCCTTTATAATTTTTTTTTGGTTTTGAAACATTTGTATCCTTTCGTCTTTATATAATTAAAGCCGTCAATTTTGTCTCCAGTAATTTCTTCCTTTTTTTTTGTTTATTTTTTTATTGCATATTTCTTTGTTTTTAATTTTTATTAATTTATTTTGATTTATCAACAATCTTT